TGGAGGACTGCAGCTCAAGGCCCAAAGGAAAGGCAAACCCAGGAAAGCTTCAAGCTGGTAATTAGCAGCCGGGCCCAGGCCAGGGCCTAAAAATCTGGAGGATGTATAAACCCGGAGAATCCCAAAGTAGTGAGTTTTAAGCCTCTACAAAGCCTCTAATTGCAGTAAAGTAGTAAGTTTTGGGTTTCTAACTCCCATCGCCGACTCCAGTTTTTCTATAGTTAAGGCACAAAGCGTGTTCTTCAAATATAGTTTTTTTTCCCTGAGCTGTGCAAAACCAGGATTACCGGAAAAAAACCTCCATCACCAATGCTGTGATGACTACTATTCCTAGTCCGATTTCCAGTGCGACCACCGTTGTAAAGCCTGAGCGACTCGACGAGAGCGTAGCTTTGACTTCGATGCCTTCGCCGCCATGGAAGCCCGGCGGCTCTCTGCAGCCAAAGAGTTGGAGGAGCTGAGGGCCCTTTTTTGATGCATGCTAAGGGCACTTTCGGTCAGGCTTTGTAGGGACCTCATGACAAAGATCCTTATGTGCAGAAAGGGGCAAGGATGTTTGACTTTGGCTGTTAGGGGCTCACTCGGATTCGGGGTTTCGGGTTTAGGGCTGTCATGGCTGCTCAGGACTTCACTGCTCCACGCTTGCTTGGGCCAGCTTCAGGCCTACTTGCGGACAGAGGGATGGGAGGTTTAACCGTAATAAAGCAGAAGCCGGAATAATTTCCAGCATCATTCCTTGCGGGGTCCCTTATTCTAAGAAGCCCCAAACCGTATTGTAATTGTTAAGGGCCCTACGTAGGCACCAGGCTCGGGCTGGTCCAGGATCCCGTGCAATTTCGTTACATGCACACATCTGGCGAGCGTGCGCCAAAGCGGTAAACGCCTTGGGAGCAATTTATGAGAATGAATGCTGCATCTTACAAGATGTCGGCCGCGTGGCAGGTGCGGAAAGAATGTTTCTTGACTGCATTTGCTGAAGGATTGTGCCTTTTCAATGACATCCCCACAGAGTTCACCATTGGGTTGCGAGACCCGACCCTCGCTGAGACTTGTTCGGACGATGGCGTTTGTTCTCCGGCGCCGTGATCTCGAATCACCAATTCAACAGTATTCCCGAGGGCCCCTTAACATAAGTATGCCACACTATATCCCGAAAGCCCAACAACCCTCTCTTAGCCTTTTTGTATAATGTCTCTATACTCCCTCCCTTTCTCTCTGCAGGTATGCGGTCGCCAGCCAGCAGGCCTTGGTAAGAAAGGCCCGGGACTGGGAGCTGAATTAAGAGAGCTGCCCGAACGGTGCTGCAGAGTTGCGATTCAGCACTGGAGATCCCTAGGGCACTATGAGGGCATGAGTGCAATCTCACGTAAAGCTTCTGCATATCTACACAGACATAGAAAGACTCTGTGGCTATTTCTTTATGTGTGTACATATACATATATCATATATATATATATATGTATTTATGTATGTAGGTATACATATATATGCTTACATGTACACACTTTAACATGATTAGTTTTTATTATGTATTCGTTCCTTGGTTCCTGTTGCCAGGGCCCTGGCTCGGAACACATGGCCGTCGGCTGCTTGCGCCTCGGGATGCGCTTTCTAGCCCGCAAGGAGGCCTGGACCCAGAGAACCCAATGCCCTTTAATTAAGGAATAGACCTTATAAGTCGTAATATTATAAGGCCCCTATAATTTAAGGTGTATTCCTTAATCAAGGGATATTGGGTTCTCTGGGCAACCCTGCCCACTGCGGACCACTGCGGGCTGCGTTGAGATTCACAAGCTAGCATGGGACATGTCTGTTTTCAGATCGGAGACTGACAGGGTTCCTGGCTCCGACTTTGTCAACAGCATGTGGCACCTCCACTCGCGCTGCTTGCTCTCATTTTGCGTAATGATGTGTAATGCCGTCGTAGGCCTGGACAGTCTTGACTGTGAAGCGAGGTCGCCTAGCGCTGCTGGCTTGCTGGTGAATGCCGAGGAGTCGCTGTGCCGCGGCGCAGTTGTTACGCCAGTTTGATGCTGGTAGTTGGTTGTTCCAGTGTTGCTATATAGATTCCTGGCGCAGCTCCAGGTGGGTGGCGGCTGTGGAGCCGACTCTGCGCCACTCGTGCTGCAAGAGCTGGGTCCTCCCAAGGCTTTTTAACTTCGGTCGCAGGCAGCAGCATGACGTTCTTCGGGAAACTCATCGGAGCATTTCGAGCGATTTAGGCCCTGTTCTTGAAGCCCAGCGAAACTTCGTCGTTGGCGTGCCATGATTGCACATAAAGGTTTGTGAGATTGCGGGCAGCCAGAACGTTAGTTTGTATTGTCAGTCTTGTCTTCGGCTGCCCGCCAGGGGCCCATGTAAGGAAGAACTCCAAGTGCTGGTGGCTGAGCCCCTTCGTTGCTCTTGCGCAAGTAGGCAAGGGACCAGTGACTGCCCGTAGTGCAGCCGACTAAAGCGTGACTCATGCTAGCTGACCCTGTCGCGGGCGTTGGATTGGGCTCCGTGTCAGCAGGTCGTGAGGTTTGTGTTTGGGTTGAATGAAAAAGGCACCATGGACATGCCACAGATGTCCGCAAGACGGAAAGACGTTCAGAATTGCGGCAGTTGTTGCGAGAAGCTGAGCAGGTACTGTAAATCATTGGTCCTGTCGCCACAGCTGACCCCATCACATTACATACGTCGCAGCTGCGGTTGGCGTGGAAGAAAGGGAAGAGCATCCCTGCCCACTGGGAGATGGCATGTTGGACGGTCCTGTGCTCAGGCCCGGAGATTTCTTTGGCCATTGGATTTCAGCTGAAATTGCAAGCGATGGCGACTGGCCCAGCATGTATCATATCCTGGTCAAGGCAGGTTCACTGACATGTTTTAACAAACTCCCGATGCATCAACTCATTCGCGAGGATCCCGCATCGGGCAATTGCATACGTCGGGAGAATGTGCCCATGTGGTACCTTCGCTGCTCACCTCAAAAACAGTGCTTGTGTTCTCTTGTCATGGATGTGCCACTTGTTTATGCCCATGCTCAGGGAAACCCGAAGAAGATGACTGGCAGTAATTGCCCCAGCCAGCTGGCATCGACGTGGGTCTGACTCCGGCATCGCCGCTGGCCGAAAGACTTCAAAGAAGGGCTCGGATGTGACCGTCGGACAACACATCGATTTCGGAGAGCCTCTGACCATGACCTCAATGAGTCCAGATGACCATGGCAACACCATCACATGTGTCCAGCACGAGTGGCCGGCAGATCTTGAAGGCGCACCTTGCAGCCATTCGTGGTACCTGGCCGTACCATGGGTCTAGCTGCAACCGCACGAGTGAAGAGCCTAAAAACGTGCAACTCTGCTTGCTTGCTCTTGCTGTTGAAGTTCAGCGATCGACATTTCGGAACCTCTCGAGACTCCGTGCCGAGGTTCTCATCCATGACAAGTCCCGGGCCGAAGTTCCTGCCAATCACACGGCCGATGATATAAACCCTGCATTACCTTAAGGACCCTAAACTATGGGAATTATGGTACATTCCTTATTACGGGTAATGCAGGATCTGCATCAACAGTAGGAGCTGTTGTGACGGTAATGGTCAGTGCGTGCAAGCCGTCGCAAAGGCCGGACGCAGAGTGCGGGCCCTGGACGGCCCATGGCCGCTGCTTTGCGACTGTCTGTGTGGATCTTGAGCCATCTCCAACGAAGCGAATGTCGGAATGCTCGTCCGCGACCTCCAGACAGAACAAACTCAGTTCGCATGCGCGCTTCTGCCGCCCGCATCTGACACCTTTGTTTCAGATGCTGTTTAGCAGGGGTTTCGGGATTAGGGCTTAGGGTTTAGGGTTTATAGGGTTTAGGGTTTAGGGTTTAGCAGAGGTCCGTGCGAAATGAGTGGAACTCCTTGGCCCGGAAGCTTGGCTCGGCTTCCTTCCACGTGCTGGTTAGCCGCTTAGCCCGGCCGGATTGCTGAGGTTAATGTATGATATTATATCAAATAGTATAATATAATATATTAGAATAGAATTAGAAATATTACATTATAGGGATTGTGACTGACACCGGATGTAGCGGGAGTGGGCACAGTGGCAGCTTGAAGCCGGCGTCAGATACCTGACCTGCACTCCGCTCCGGAAGTGCTTCGACCCGGCAAGTTGACTGGGGAGGCTCGGCACATGCGTCGACATTTCGCAAAGTCCGGCTGTGTTCTGTCATTTGTGCCTGGGACAGACTCTTCGAGAAGTGTTCTCCCGGACGTCCGAAGCTGATTGTGCCAGGTGCAGTCAGGACTTTGACACACCGCAGTCAGTCTGAAGCGCCCTAAGGCTGTGCTCACGGAATCGCATGATTCCTGCGCGGTATCATTCCGTGATCCGGCGGCTTGGCTTTGTAGATATACACATGTCCGAAAGGCTTGGAATGTAGAGAATCCAGATTTCAAACCTATGTAGAAGATCTGAAGAGAGGTACACACGCACTAGAAGTGTGGAATATTCCGAGATCTCCAACAATTTCAGGCCGAAGGCCATCGTCATGGGGTCCTCGTGGGGGGCCGATATGGCGGCAGAGGCCATCTCTCTAAACCGTAAACCCTAAACCTCAAACCCTAAACCGCGGATATCAGATGCGTCTTCTCTTGCTTGGGCCATTGCCGCTGCTGTGTCATGTGCTTAAAGGTGGCAGCGCTGGATGATGTCGTGGCCAGGCCCTCAAAAAGTCTTGTGATGACCTTGACTTCGAAGGGAAGTGGTGTCTAGAGATGGTCCATTGGATGTCCCAGGCCGTGGCCATGGTTTCTCCGCAGATAGGCCAAGTGCTCGCCAGACGTTTGGGAAGGGATGACCTGCAAACCGGATGTCTCGTGACAGCTTCATGGCCAGAAGAGAGAACAAGCCGCCAAGCCACCTAAAGCGTCAGGTGCGGAGCATCTGCGGTCACTGCAGAACATCCAAGGTCGAGTAGTCACCTCAGACCTCTCGGGTCGAGCTATTCTTTCCAAGTTTGAGCCTTAATGGCGCCACCGACACGCGGGAGGCCCGCTTAAAGACTCGTTCTGCAGGAGCAGCTGGAAGGGAGAGCTTGAAGACTAGAGTCTAGAGTCTAGAGCCAGCTCTCGGTCTAGCAGTTCCGCGGCCGACAGAAGTTTCCAAGTTAGCAGGTCATCGCCGCAGCACACTGTCCAAGCACTGTTTCAGTGTTTGTCAACCTGGCATCTCCAGCAGAGTTGGAGAATGTCGTCAGTTTTCCATGACCCGAACATTCTTTGCACACTCGCCTGCCTTGCCAGCCTGCAGGGCTTGCAAGGATGAGTGTACATGATTCTACATGCTTCATACTTGCGAAGCTTTGCGAGAACAGCCCATCGGCGTCCAGGCTTGAACTTATAGCCTTTTAGCTTTGCATTCTTGCGCCGTTTGCCATGCCCGGCCAGTCGTTCCAAGAGCACACGACATGCCCCTTGGGCTGCACCTGCATGGAAACAATCTACAGGTTCCCTTTTGTCTGATGAGCAGTGACTATACGTAGCTGCTCTCTGATGGGTGGGCTCATCATATGCTGCACCTGGTCGCATCCCAATCGCAGCCGATAAGTGCGGATATGTCCTGATGCACTGTCGAAGCAGGTTCCAGCAATGGCAATATGCTCTGGAGCAAAGGCTGGAAATCGCAGAGATCGCTCTGAGACAATCAGTGAATGAAAAACCGACTGTGGACTCTAGTGAGCGGTTAAGGTTTATTGTCAATGACGAGAGGTGAGTCTGCCTGTCAGGTGCGGATGGTAGTGACTGTTTCGCCTGAGCTCAGCAAAGCTTTCGTTCTTTCGGTATTGCTTTGTAGATAAGATATAGGTCACGGAGTCAGCAGCGGTGACGGCTGGATCAACCAAATACTGCCTGTCACAGCCGTGCCGGTTTCGGAGAGAAGGTCGTGCCAGTTTTGGCTCTTGTTAGCCTGAATATCAGCGAATATCACCTGTTGTCCATGGCACGCTTTCGGCAACATGGCATGCAGCCCAGGATCATTATTCCATGTGCTACGCCCCAGCACTTGTGGGTGGAGGTTTAGGCCCCACTGGAGGCCATCTGCAGTGTGATGCAGGCTGGGTGGTGGGGATGGGAGGTCCTTAACCCTAAACCCGAAACCCCACTCCGAAGTGAGGGCGCCGTTCAGTGAGGAAGCTTCCGGGCCTCGAAGCCACACGTCATACATCCTCTTACTGCACCCTGAAGAAGCTCCGACTTTGTTCTGGGCTGGAGCTGTGGTTTCAATGCAGTTTTGGAGTTTGGATGTGCCTATGGTCGTTGTGGTAATCTGATCCTCGCCTAGCTTTTCCCAGTTGATTGCTGAGACCCTTTCCGACCTCGAGAGTTGCAGTTGCAGCCCTAAACCCGTTTAGGGTTTTAGGGTTCAGGGTTTAGCGACCTGTCGAGCAGCCCAGCAGGCACGTATTTCTTTACGGAGTCGCCCAAGTCAGGCACTTACAGGGCCGAGTACTCCTGAGCTCCGGCAGTCTGCACTGCTTTCGTGATGCGGAACACAGAGCCGCATAAAGGACAACAGCGGATCTGACCCTAAACCCTAAGCCCTAAACCCTAATCCTGGCATGTCCGAGTTGTGAGAGCCTAAAGCCTAATGGTAATTAGATATATTTTGGAGGCTTTCTGCCAACTTCTATCGGCTTGAGGTTCTGCTGCAACAACCCCCGCATCGACCTCAACGGCTCGACAGTCTTGGCGAAGAAGCTGGGTTGCTTTCGAAATTAGTCGGTTTGAAGGTTTGGGATCTATAGGAATTGGGGTTGGGGTTTTGAGTTTAACAGCTTTGGCGTGTAGGTTTTCCGTGGTTCTGGCGGGTTTTCGGTTTTAGGCGTCTTGGACCATGATGGGGGGGGGGGGGCTGAGACCGTTCCCGGTTGAAGGAAATCCCAACTTTGTGGGGACATTCTGGCAAACTTCAATGAGAACAGCCAGCAAATCAAGCAGCTTGGCTGAACAGAAAGCAAACTCCCATGATTCTGCCAATGTGTTCATGCCGGGCATCAAAGCGTTTTTGTCGATCGTTCGGAAGATCTGCGCCAGGTTTGTGAGAGGTCCGGCGGCCAATGCCACGCAGGCATTGCAAGAGCCATTGCCGTAGCACTGAAGGATGAACAGAGCAGGTAGCAAAACCCTGTTGTCGATCATATTTATTAATGTTATACTGAATTTGCTGTGTCTTGTGCCCCTGTCCATTAGAAGCATGTGAGGCAAGATGCCTAGTGTTTTTCGAATGGTAATGAGGTGCAGCCCCTTCCCAGCCCGACTTGCAGGAGCAGCTAGACGTGCTGGCGGCAGCTGGACGTGGTGTGCCTCGGGTTGTTACAATCTGTCAATAAGTTACTTTAACACTACCGTAACCTAGTTTTTGCTAGCGCATGGATTACTGTCGTGCGTTTCTGCTGTTTTTGTGGTTTGCTCTTCCGGTCTTTGGGGGGGGGTGGGGGGGGTGGGGTTGATAACGTCCAGTTTGCATACATCGCATGGTACAGCTTACGAATTCCTCGGTAT